ATATATTTTATCCCCCCTCCAATACAATCCATCTTTATGTAAACAGGCACTATTATTTGTTTTTATCCATACTTCCATTTTTGTAGCCTCTTCTAATTCCTTTTTGGTTATCTCTTTTGTGGTCAACATCTGAATTTGTTTGGTTGATGGTCTTACAGAGATCATGGGCTGAATAACTTCGTCTCTAGACACATTGTATTGAGGTAGTCTAGCTAGTGCATCCGCCATGAAGTTTTTACCCCCCCCGGAACATATCGCAACTGGAAATCAAAACGTTTAAAATACAAAGCCCATCTTACTTGTTTAGGGGATAGTTTTCTCGGTTTCTGTAATGCTTGTAAATTTTTATGATCTGTCCAAACTTCGAATTTTTCTTTCAACCCTTCTAATAGGTGTCTCCATGTACTTAGTGCCCATTTTACGGTGAAAGCCTCCTTTTCCCAAATAGCCCACCTGCGTTCTGTGATTTAAAAATTCCATGATGTATATGCACATGGCTGTAATTGTCCATCAATGTTATACTGTAAGAGGACAGCCCCCATAGCCACATCACTTGCATCGGCTTGTACTACAAAACTTTTAGTTGTATCAGGATGTTTTACAATGGGCTTTTGAGCAAATAAAGCTTTCAGGTCGTCAAACGCTCGCTGACACTCCTGTGACCATACAGTGGGTTGACTAGTTCTGGGTTTTGGCGCCTGATGTTTAGTTTTTAACAATTCTGTTAGTGGTAAAGCAATTTGCGCGAATTTAGGAATAAACTGCCGGTAAAAGTTCGCAAATCCTAAAAAACTTTGTAATTGCTTTCGTGTTTTTGGTTCTTTCCAATCAACTACGGCTCTGACTTTATTGGGATCCATTTCTATTTCTTTATTGGATATTCTGTACCCCAAATAATCCAACGACGTGCAGTGAAACTCGCACTTTGAAAGTTTCACATATAATTTGGCGTCAAGTAATTTTTTCAGAACTTTCCTCACTAAGGTCACATGTTCCTCCATTGTTTTGGTATAAATTATCATCTAAATATACTAGAACGCCACGATATAAATGTTCTTGTAATACTTCATTTATAAGTTGCATGAAGACAGCGGGTGCCCCTTGCAACCCAAATGGCATAACGTTAAACTGAAAACTTCCAAGGGGGCAATTAAAAGTAGTTTTCCATTGATCCCCCTCTCGTATTCGAACTCTATAGTAGGCTTCTCGTAAATCCAATTTCGTAAAATACCTGCCAGTCGCTAACGTTGCTAACAAATTGTTGATCAGTGGGAAAGGATATACATTGTCTATGCAAATAGCTTTGAGCCCATGGAAATCAACACAAAGGCGTAATCCACCATCTTTTCTCGCAAAACAAAATAGGGGCAGCTATATGTGATTTCCCGGGTTGAATAAATCCACGCGCCAAATTCCAACTTTCCTCTCAGCTACCCGTTGGCACACATGCAGGGAGACAATAAGACACTCTTCGCTTCAGTATTTCGTAACACAAAAGCTTATTGTTTATTCCTTCCTTCACAAGGAGTCCGAGATAATAGCTAAGCAAACAAAATAAAGTTGGATCTAACCCGAGTTTCCTGGGACTCGATATTTATAATGATTTCCCCTCATTCCCCTTCATTCCCCTTGATTACCCTTATTACCCATGATTACCATTTTTAATGATAATTATTCATATGAACTCAATCACATGAATCGTGGTTAATGCAGAGTTTCACCTCACAGCATTTTACATAGACCGCGCATATAATTATGATACAGGGTTTATTCTGATAAAGAGGAATGCCATCCTTCAGGTCGCAGTGGCTTTGATGCAAACGCATGTGTTGCATAGTCGCGACATGCGTCTCCCTCTACCAGGAACCAGTCTATAAAACAATATACATTATATCACTAATTATGTCTCTACTTGTGGTCCAGGTTTATCGGGATATTTGGTATGAAATTGCCTTATCAGCTTATTTGCACACACATCTGCTACTTTCAGAAATGCCATCCTTCAGGTCGCTGTGGCTTCGATGCAAACGCGTGTGTTGCGTAGTCACGACACTTATTTTCATTTAATAGACCACTTTGCTTAACAGTCCAGTTCCTGGTACCAACTGTTGCTAAATGAGGACTACCTGTAACTCTGTAGAGAAGGGTTGTATTCTTACCTACTTTTAGATTTGCTTCTGCTGCCTCAGGTACTATAACAAACAGTTGTGCTTCAAGCAAATTGTGTGATCTCTATTTTAAATTAACTCTTAAGGAAATTTGAAGCAAGCATACATCAAAAGCACCCTATGAAGAGAGAATGAGGAAATTAGAAATAACCGAGGAAAAATGCGGGGTAACATTTTTTAAGTCCCTTAAAAGTCTGTCTGCCAATACAAGGTTTAGATTAGAATAATGCTTTAAACTTGAAGGAAAAAGCAAAACCTTATCAACAATTAGGGGCAACTTGTGATCAATGGTAAGAGCTTAACTCTCCTTTACCAGTAAAGTTCAATAATGGAGCCAATAACAGTTATTGCATTTGGGTTCTGCACTGACCAAGATACAGGATTTGAAAGTTTTAATGGCTCTTTAAAGGAACAAGGTAAAACTCACTGAGCATTTTTTAAATCAATTTATCAAATTTTTGAATAAATTCAACTGGGGTTTGTACATCTGCTAAAATGTATTTATTTTAAAATATCTGGCTAATTCGTGAACTATTTGAAGCAACTGGTCATGAGGCTTATCTATCAATAAAAGGATATTTTCCTAAATTAATTTTTCAAAAACAATCTATCACAGTTAAGCAATATTTGAGTATCTTAAACATACATGTGGCTATTAACTGGGATATGAGATAGTTAAATGATTCTGGATTTCCAGTATTATAAGTAACAATTGGAACAGTGTATTTGCTCCTTTGATAATAGAGTGTCTTGCCTCAGAGTTGGTTTGATAAAGGTCTTCATTTTTTCTTCTTCTGTTCAATTGTGTCCAGTTCTCTCAGACTGCTTGTATAAATTCCTGCAGTTTTCTTGTCAAGGTTCTTCAGATGTGGTTTGCCATTGCCTCCTTCTAGGGCTGAGAAAAACTGGTTGGCCCAAAACTAACCTAGCTGGCTTTGTGCTCAAGGTAGGATTAGAATTCATGGTCTCCCAGTTTCTAAGTTGATGACACCTTAAGCACTACATAAAACTGGCTCTCAATGTTTTCACTATGCATCTTCAAAAGGATTCAAAGGTACCAAAACATAGATGTTTGGTACCAGATCAAGTTCTAAAGATTGAATACTTTAAACAACTTTTTAAATTTTTAAAGATTGAATACTTTTAACAACTTTTCTGCATCACTTCTGTTTTTTAGAACCCTGTTTTTGGCACTCACACAATATTTAATACATTGTGATTTGATAAATGCTGAATGTTTTGATAGCTGTACGAACCTATACAATTCCCTTAACTATAAAAGCATTTTAAAATCTAAATAGATGCTAGTGAGCATCATGAAGTACCACAGATTGATACTAGCAATTATTACTTTACCAAGATACAGTATATGGTAATTTACTCATGTTCCTGTCAGTATGTAATGGAGACCCTCCCATCCCATAAGCCAGGGGTGTCAAACTCGAGGCCCGCGGGCTGAATCCGGCCTGTGGGTTGCTAAGATCTGGCCCATGGGGCCACTCTGGAAATAGCAGAGGACCAGCCTGCAGTGCCTATGCTACCAAAAAGAGAGCTTGGGAGGGCAGTGCACAGCCCTAGCAGGCTCCATTTTCAGCCACAACGGCTTCCTGCAGCCCTCTGCCAGCAAAAATGAAGCTTGGGGAGGCCCACCTGAGCTCCATTTTCGCTGGCAGAGGGCTGAAGGAGGCCATTGCAACAGAAAATAGAGCCCGGGTGGGCTGTACATGGCCTCCCCGAGCTCCGCTTTCGCTGGCAGAAGGCTGCAGGAGGCCGTTGTGGCTGAAAATGGAACCTCAATGAGTGATGTGAAGCTGACCATGCCCCTGGCCAGGTGTGCCACGCCCCCCATTCCCTTCAAGGTGAAACACAACCCTGATGTGGCCCTCAATGAAATCGAGTTTAACACCCCTGCCCTAAGTCAAAGGTAGTTGCCCAATGTATCCCAACCATCCAATGAGCCCCATCTCAACCTCTGCAGGTAGTCTTCGACTTACAGCCATTCGTTTAGTGACCAAAGTTACAATGGTACTGAAAAAAAGTGATGACCGTTGCAGCATCCCCATGGTCACATGATCAAAATTCAGATGCTTGGCAAGTGGTTTATATTTATGGTTGCAGTGTCCCGCGATCATGTGATTATCTTTTGCAACCTTCTGAGAAGCAAAATCTTTGGGGAATCCAGATTCACTTAACCATAACTTAACCCGGTGATTCAGTTAACTGTGACAAGAAAGATCGTAAAATGCAACAAAACTCACTTAATTGACTCGTTTAGCAACATGCATTTCGGGCTCAATTGTGGTCATAAGTTGAAGAATACCCTACTTATATTTGAGTTCATCCCACCCCACCCCTTAATGACAAGCTATATTTTGAAGGAGAAAGAAGCATTTCGGGTTTGCTCTTGCTTTGCTGAGAGCGGAATGGGACAACTCGCCACAGCCAACTTTATGTGGACAATTCAATGTAATTATTTAAAATAAACAATTATTTGTTTTTTGCCATTCATTCTGTCCCTCCTTTTGTATCCTTTAATGATTCTATTCCACCATTTCTTTGATATTAGTGTAACTCTTATCCCGCAGCAAGTTGTCCTACAGCAAGTTGGCCTGTGGCGAGTTGTCCCATGAACGGGTTGAGTTGGCCATGATGAGTTGGCCATGGCAAATCACTGGAACATGAATGGGTCAGGTCTACATTCCATCTTCACCCATGGTTTGAGGCTGCATATATACTTGGGCATAGTCAAGATGGCAATCATATATTACGAACCTTGATTTTGCTATTATTAACAACCCCCAAAAAATAAAATCAGAGTCTTATTCACAAATATAAACATGTAAGGCTATCATTTAATGTAAAATTTTCCATATAAAAATAGCATGCATGCAGAACCTACTTATTTAAACCAAGATGTTTCTTTTTTCAATGAACAACTTTGAATATGTCTGTGTTCTTGTCCCATAATGCAACACAAATATAATCTGGACCTGTATATAGTCACCTAGTGACTAACTAGACTTGTTTAAAGGAAGAAACTTGGTCCGATTTTTCAAAATGAAAAGGGTTATTGTTCATATCCCATCTCATTGCCAACAATGAAAATGGTTACTTAAGCATGAGGATTGGTACATTGTTCAGTACACAACAGGCCAAGTAATCACTGGAAAAAATGTAATTATTTTTAGATTATAATTAAATTAACAGGATGTAAGAACCCTGTTCCAAAATACAAGATACAAACTTTTGGACAAGTAATATCTCTTTTAAGTATAATGTTTTAGTGTTTACAGACATAAAATGTAAAATAATATTCATATAGAAAAAGAATGTTGTAATCAGGCTGGCAGAGTTCCAGCTCTGGTCTTGAATATAATTATGCTCCTGAACTATTGATATTTCAACATTTCTTAGAAAGAGTAATTAGCTGCTAGCAGAAGTTTTCTAACAGAAATACTGCAGGAATAGTTTGTAAACAGAAAACAATATTGTAGAGGCATATTTCATCAGGGAAAATAAGGTTAAAGGTTTATGAATAATGTTGTAATGTAAGACTTCATTTTTTAAACATCCCGAACCTAAATATATTACATGGAGGTACATTAGCATCAGTGGAACAGCAACGAGATCTGTGCATGTGTACTTAGAGCAAGTTCCATTCATCTGGTGGAATTCGGTATTAGGTAAACAGAGATTAAGACAGGAACTTTACATTCACACAATGTCATCAAAAACAGGCACATCGTTTAATACCAGAAAAAGAAAAAGGGCCTTAAATAGGAATGCACATTAGATATAAGACGCACTTTAATCTTTTGATAACCCACTTTGTATTTTTCATTAAGAACGTATGAAGGATGTAAATGAATAGAGGATTTTTTTTTAAAAGGAACTTGCTATATTCTGTTTGGTCGTACAATTTCTCATTTACTTGTCCTGTTATAATTTAGAATGTACTGTGTGTGTCTGATAATAATTGACTAAAATAAAGACATATAGCAGCATAAACATTACTTTTTGGCACAGTACAATAAAAAAAGTTAAGGCCCACAGTGTAGAGAAAATTGAAATGTGCCAGTACCATTAGAAAAAAAAAATGTTTGAATTTGTGAAACAACTTATTTTGTTGCCAAAACTTTCGACCTAGACCTAATTTGTGTTTAGCTACCTGAGTCTTTGAAGATGTTTCTGCAGATACACACTGCAGTTAAGTTTCATAAGTCATACAAATATTGCACTACCAACATTGCCAAAATATATACTGGACTGTTTTAAAAACTGTTAATTTTTGCTTCATTATTAAGGCTCTGCCTCTGAGCCACAGGATCTAACAAATAGAAAAACTATTTTACGAACAAGTTATTTAAGCCTTTCAGCTCAAATTTTGTTTAAAATGAAACCTACTGTATATATTAATTCATCATTCCTTTCAACTAGAAAGTTGTCTTACTGAATGTCAAATGAATGCATGGCCAATGGTATTATTTCTGACCCTGTTGGGATCTCACTATTTGCCATTACGAGTCATTCATTTAAACAGCAGTATTATTCCCTATCAGTGTAGGTCCATTGTGTGCAACTCTGCTAAAGCACTGATAAAAACACCTCTACAGCCAGTTGTGTTCCTTAAGGACATCAGTTAAACAACTCGGTCAGACCATGATTTGCAGTTCTAGAGTATGCTGCAGCTGCTGAAAGGGCTTCGGCTTTTCTTGGTCCTTTGTTTGTTTGGCCTAAGGTTGATGACATCACCTCCTCCGTTAAGCAAGTTGGAATTCTGGCCAGAATGACTTCCACCTGCCGTATTGAAAACACCTATATAAAATTAAAGCACAAAAGAGAGTTGTACGTATGGCAACTGGCAATCTTTTAACTGTGTCAGATCTGTAACTGTACAATTAAAGCAGAACTAGAACTTCAATAAGCCTTAGCTTGATATTTTAAAAATCAAAGTAAGAAATGCTTTATGGTGAGACTACATACTATTTTTATCAGAAATAGTATTTTTAAAGAAATAGCAAGCTGCTTTTAACCTCTTCATCAGTATTTCTGCCATGAGTTAGTCGAAATTACATCATTGTAAAACTCTGATAATATCAGCGGAAAATAAACTAAACTGAACTGAAAATGGCTAGCTTTAATTTATTATTTATTAGGCTTTGATACTGTGGCCAAAGATTAGTTTTACAAAAGTAAAATGGCACAATACTATCTGCTTGCAGCATGCAACTGTACATACCAATTCTGTTACTACTTGTGTGTACAACTTCTGGATCTTCCATTATTCGTTGCTTAAGTTTTTGAAGGTACTTCTCAGCCAAATATCTAAAAACTGTAGCATACAAAATATCAAGGCCTTCGGAAAATATGTATTTTTATTAGTAAAGCCTACAGTTTCCTTATAAACTCAAACTTACTTAACATGTTAAAAGTGGCAACAACAGTCTATATAAGCTAGTAATGAATAAACGAACACACACAAACAGGTAAATGCATACAACCTTTTGAAGTCAAGACAGAAAAGTCTGATGAATATTGTATTTTTCTGTTAGTAATTATATAGCTCATAGAATATTAATTATACAGTGGTAAAACCTGCATTTTCAATAGAACATTGTTTCATTCATTATAATAATATTTTCAGGTTGCAAACTTCAGTTCTCCAAATATTTTGGAGCAATCGCTCTCAGCCCCTGCCAGTCTTACCCAGTCAAGAAAAACTGAAAATATCTCCCTAGGAATTAAGCTTTTTCTAGCTTTTTCTTAAACCTTGGAGTTTAAGTTCATCTTATCAAAAACAAATTATTCATCTGTAATTCAATCTCAAAATTTTTTATTTGTGGAACTACAAGGTTGGTGATTCCAAGACATTTTGTTCTCTCTCTGGAACATACCATTCTGGGAGCAACTGGGTAGTTTCTGGAAGCAAATTACATGATTTGGAGGTGGTTTGAAACAGCATTTCCAGGTCAAAAATTTGGAACTGCCACCCCCAGAAGGGCATTGTTTAATGGAAAGTAGAGTATTTTCCATTTTCAAATAACATAATTTTTCATTTTATTTTGTGGCTAAGAGCAAGTTTCGTGTGGTAGTTAAAGCACCAGGCTAGAAACCAGAGACTGTAAGTTCTAGTCCCCCAATTAAGCACAAAGCCAGCTGCTGACTTTGGGCCAGTCACTTTCGCTCAGCCCTATGAAGAAGGCAATGACAAATCACTTCCAAAAATGCTGCCAAAAAAACTGCAGGGACTCCTCCAGACACTTGCCAGAAGTCAAGATTGACTTAAAGGCACACAAACACACAAAACTTTTGTACTTGCACAGAGTATATAGTCAAGGAATATATAAAATTTGAATTGGATTATAACACAAATCCTACCCTCCATATGCAATTGCACAGAGACTATAAGGAGTACCAGATGAAACCTAGTTGTCATAGAACAGTGGTGGCTAACCTTTTTGGGCTCCTGTGCCAAAAATTGTGCACGCATTAGCGCGCGCACAAAGCATGCCAGCACCTAGAATGAAATGCTCCCCCTGCATGGAATCCTCCCTGCACCCTCTTACCTGCACTACGCCTCACAGCTGATCTTTCTGCTGGTTTGAGGCCTTTTTCGGCCTCCCAGAGGCTTGGAAAAAGCCTCTGCAAGGCTTTTCAGGACGAATAATATGCCTGTTTCATCACTTCCGGTATTACAGGAAATGACGAAATGGGCCTATGCATCCTGAAAAGCCTTGCTGGGAGGCCAAAAAAGGCCTGAAACCAGCAGAAAAATCAGCTATGAGGCACGCACATGTGCAGTGAGGTAAGTTTGCCTGCGGCTCGCGTGCCAGCACAAATGTCTCTGCGTGCCACTTGTGGCACGCATGCCGTAGGTTCGCCATCACAGCCATAGAACTAGTTTTTTTTTATTTTTTTAACCAAATTTTGAACCAGTCACTCTCCTAGCACAACCCACCTTGCAGGGCTGTTGTGGGAAAAATAGAAGATAGGAGTATTAGGTATGTTCACAGCTTTAAGCTGATTATCATACATAAATGCATAGATATATAAGTAAGTGGGATAAAAATATAACAATAATAATTATGACTATCCACGGTCCTTGAGAAGTAAACAGGTAGATTAAAAAATATACAATCTAAACTTCTAGCTGATCTGCAATTAACAAATAATAATAATATATTTCAAGATTGCAGCATTTCAGACTATCCACAAAGACTAAACTGTCTCAAAGTTCGTCAATTTAAAAGAGATTCTTTGAACTTAGAAAATCGGATTCTAGAGACAAGAACTGAAAAAGGCTTGTTGCTTCAATGAGAAACAGGAATTAAGCTTGAAAAAGAAAAGAAAACTAACCTAACCAAAATATTAAAAAGTCTACCTTACCTTCTGTTACATTTAAGTCTTCCTTTACAGATGCCCGATAAAATCTTAATTTTAGTTTTTTTGCAAGCGCCTCTGCTTCTTCACTGTTTATTGGAATGGAAAGTGTTGTTTTAGACACCAATTATTTTTCAGTAAAATAGAATGCATTAATGCAAACTGAACTGAGTTGATAATCTTCATTGAAGTAGATTTAAAAAGGCAGTTAAAAGAAAGGATTTTCTTAGTAAAAAGGTGAGAGAAAATATTAACATTGATTTAAAATGTTGCCTAATGAAAATTATAAAGAAAAAAAAACGACCGGAAATTACAGTATTTGGTGTAAATATTAGTTTTTCATAATTTTAAATTGGTGAACCAATCAAGATCTGCTCAAAAACCTGCTCATAGGGCAATGAAAGTATGTAGTAAATAAATAAATAGGAACTGCATAAAAATTAAGCATCCATTGATATTCAAATATATATATCAATTCCTGGCTGCACCAATGAATGAGTGTTGAATAAACACACGGATTCTGCACTTGTGAGAAAGCACAAGGACTTAAGTAAAATTGGGACTTACAATAAAGTCATATATCTTGCATTTGTAAAAAGCAAGCCATAAAACATCCTCCTATTGCACTGCTCTTAAAATACTGCATTTGAAACTAAATTCTCTAGTTTTTGCAACATTCGAGCCAAACTATTTCCTGAGAGTGCCAGACTTAACACTCAAGAAATGTCAATCAGTTTTGTTCCTATTGTGAAAAACAGATACAGAAAAGCGCAGGGAGAACTTTCATGAGTTCATACGATTTGAGGCAAGATGTCTTTTGATGTCTTTTCTTTTGTATTCTTTCATTAAGACCTCCCATAGTGTTTACTTTTTGGTTCTTGCAGTCTTTCTTGGCAAGAATTATATTTACAAGTAGATTACCTGGTTTGTTTGGCTGTTACCTTCCGGTAACTTTGACTTTTTAAATGTCTTGGAAAGGGTGGGGAGGGTTGCTACTGAATAGCATACAGATTAAGAATTGTCTACCTGCATATATAAGTATTCTGTAATAATGGCTTAACATGTATGTACATGTCTCTAGTGCTAAAGACTCTAATTACCTCCATTTAGAGTTGACACAGGGTCTAAGAAAAAGGTAAAAAATATGGATGGCCTTCCCTCCCTTAGGTTGGCTGCAGTACTTTTTGTCTGGTAGAATGGGGGTTTATTCTGTTTCTCTTTGGGCTCTGCACTAGGTAGTTTTGTTCCAAAGTGGTCCTTGGACCCTCCTTGTTGTGTCCTCAGACCCTCTCACTCACAAATCTTAACTAGGCAGACCCTTCTTGAATCAGCAACAGTGCATTTCCACAGTGCATTT